GTGCAGTTACATGTTTGTGTGCTATACAGCAGAGCAGATCCAAGAAAATTCTTGGTAAGAAAATTTACAAAATGTACAGTGTGCTTGCTGGTAGGCTTTAGTAACAGATTACATTTGTCACTAAGCTTTACAGTACTTGCCATGTGTAAATATATTTTCTTTATGTATTCTGGTCTACATGTTGTGTCTCAGATGAGAGAATTAATTAGATGGGGAATTCCAGGGCTGGATTATGTCAGTGGCAAGTAAATCGACTTCTCTTCAGTTGATGTTAAATTCTTTTTAAGATTAATGTAATTAGTCTGATTTTACAGGTGTAGAAACTGATTTGGAAGAGCAGAGTTACCCACTGGGTTTGCGGGAGCTCTGTGCAGCACATCTGGGGCCGTGGGAAGGCGGATACAGCACTGAGTTGCTGCTGGAACTGCAGCCTGGGTGTCTGTCTGACATCTGACCCTAAAGAAGACATGTAGGGAAACATCTCCCTTGCCATGGGCTGGACAGAACCAGAACCTTTGCAGATCAGCTCTGTGTGTGGCACTGTCTGCTGCACTTAACATCAGGCTGTTATTGAACAGTGTGGGATCCCCACTGTAAATTCATGGCCCCTTTACAGTGTTTAGATGTGCCTGAGATTTTTCTCTTTTCTCTCTTTCCACTTTCTGGACAAGTTTTGATGTTGTCCTCGACAGCTGGTAACACTGAGGAAAAGAGTGAGGAGAGGGATTTGAGGCAAGTGTTGTTCTGTGTCCCATTGAAATGCAAGTGGCTCTTAATGTGTCAGGAGGTACAAGCAGGAGGAAAAGAATAGAGAAATGTGTGAGCAGAGGTGAAGAACTGTCATACTGTACTGAATAGGCAGAGTAGGCTGATATCATTGCCACCATAGGAACAAAAAAACCCCAGAGAGATGCTGGGCTTGATTACATCAGTTCATAAAATGGGCTTTGCTTTCCTCTTTGCACTACCAGCTTTGATGCAAATGCTGAGGTAATGCAAGAACTCTTAGTAGAAGTGCAAAACAACCATGTTGTAATTTTTTTAGCTTCAGAGAGGATTCTTTGTTATTGAGGGAATGGTGATTGTGCCACTCATTTTAGTAAGTACCTTTTATAACAGATGACATTCAGCTGGACTGTCAGAGACACATTTTCATCCTTTCATGCCATTGCTAAGAGTCCTGGTTGAAATGGAAAATTTTACTTCTTCATCTTCTTTTACACATACACAGTAACTTGAATAGAGAAGAATGGAAGTTCTGCATCATTTTAATGCATTGAAATATGCAAATACACTTCCTTTTTTTTGTTGTTGAACTTTCTGCTTGTTCTGCCAATGAATATGAGAATTTGAATGGCTCCTACTAAGAATGCTTATTGAAGCAGGGTTCCCAGCTTGCTGCAGAGGGGGACTTGGGCTCAGGTAGAACACCTAGACTGGCCAATATTGAAACAGCTGCCTTTGCAACTTGTTCCAGGAACATGGGTAAATAAGGCTCTGCACCCTTACCTAGCTTTTTGCAAAATGGGAGCTTAATTGTGTTTTGAGGTAGGTTATTGATACACAGACACATAGATACTGTAATGAACTTATCTTGGGGTTTAGGAAACATGTAGCTGTGTTGCAGAACTCTACTATCTTTGTTAAATAATAGCTATCAGTGTTAAATTGCTTATCCTGTACATCACATCTGAATTTCATACTTTATACCAGCATGGTTTGAGAAATGGTTAGAATGTGGTTTTCACAGGGACTGAGATGATGCGTACTGGGGAATGCCCTTAATAAAAGGGAACCATTAAGGGTGTTGTGAAAATAATATTGACTTAGCACATAAGAAATAACAGTAACTATTTTATTTAGCATACTAAAAAATGTGGAGTAGGAGGAGGGTAATTTTTGGAGCAAAACTTAGCATTGTGAAGTGAGGGCATCCTGGGTCATTTTGCCAATGAAACTCTATAACCATGTAAACATAAAACATCAGCTTGAAACGCTTAATCTAAAATGTTGGGCATTTCTCCTTTAAAGTTCTGTCTTGCCTACTTTTGAAAAAGTAGAGTTAAGCAGTTTAAAATTTTGTTTCCTATGATATGCAATATGTAAGGACTTTCTGTTAATATCATACTAAAATCATCAGACAATTCTGTTGCTTACAAGAGAAAACAATTTTGTGACGTATTTCCCTCTCATATTAGGAAAAAACCCACATCTGCCCATAAAATTTACAATTTTCCAAAGGACATAGGAAAATTATATTAAAAAAAAAAGGGAGGAGGGGTGTGAAGCAAGCATTCAAATTTCCATGGAAGCTCTGTGTTTATGTAAAGTACAGCAGCTGCACTGCAAATTCCCCTCTCTGGATGACCTCAGTTCTGAACAAGACAGACTGTTCTGGGTGCAGGTGTGATTACTGAATTATTTGTTCTGTTTTAGTGTCAGTCAGTTACAGAGAAGTATTATGGGAGTAAAGTGAATTGGTAGATTTGGTATTCCACAGTTCACTATGTGCCTTCCTGCTATTGCAGAAATAGTTTATTTTATTCTCTTGAATTGCATTAGTTAAATAGGACAGACAAGAGGAAGGGACTCCAGCAACAACCTCTGAATACATCAGGCAGACAGAAAGGCAGGACTGCACTGATGATACTGCTCGACATAAAAGACAGTTTTGACAGCTGAATTAGGATATTTTTTTAAGAGGTTTGTATAGGTTGTTGGAATTGAGAATTTTAATTTGCTTCTCCATGCTTCTTGAGAAATAGAGCTGTGAGAAATGCTCACTCCTAACACATGCATCCAGTCAGCCTTGGTCTGAATGGGATTGCTCTTGTCAACCTGCCAGCAGTTTTCAACCTACCTTAGGTCACATTGGTCTTTGCCAGGTGTCTGTACTTATTTATGTTCTTTGTGCCTTTTATCTCTTACTGGTTAATGCAATTTTATAGCAAAATCCTTTTCCTTCATCAGTGTTTGGTGCAGACTGCCAGAGAGCAGGACTAATGTACTGAAATGTGGCTGCTTTCTTCACACTTGTCTCCAGCCAGGCAGGTGCAGTCAGACTAGAACCTGAGTTCCTGAACACCTGATGTGCAGCATGTCAGCTTTTCAGGGTCTTGGAAGAATCAGCACAGATCTAGAACCCACAAAAGCGAGTCCTTACAGAAAGATGAGTGTTGTTTCCTCCAAATAATTAGCAAATCCAGGCTCTGCTTTGACAGCCATTCACTGTAAGATGTGTGACTTCAGCAGCCAAGGCAAACTTGCACTTGTAGGAGGTTTTCCCTTTTATTGCTGAAAGGGCAATAAAAGGACGTGGCACTTCATGTGAGTGGCAATCCTGTACGGGTTAAGGAGTGATGGCAATGGTATCTTTATGCATCCACTATTGTGTTCCTTCTCTCTTCAAACATGGTCCTGACAGGACTGGTTTTGTGTGAGGCACAGAGCATTAGTACAGAAATGTGTGTGAGAATTTGGAAACTTTTTTTTAAAAAGGCAAGGGGATTAAGATTCCTATGCAAAAAACAATGTACTCGTAAACACTTTTGTGTTGTGTTTAATAAGCTTGCATTATGCTGTGTGCTTTAAGTAAAAAACATGGAAAATGGAAGGACATTTGCTGAGATTGATTGATTGTAAATACTGATCTTGTATCTGATCCAATGCAGTTTCTCTAAATGATCTAATTGAAGACGTGTAGGGGAACAGATCAGATATCTCTGAGCATTAACAAGGGTTTTGGGTGAGTAGTGAATGATAAACAGGTCAAAGGAATGTGTAATCAGTGCAGTCACACTACAGCATGATTCTCCTGAGCATGACAATTGCATACCTTTCTTTTAAACCATCTGAAGCAGATCTTCCTCATGAAATTGGTAATGTGCTCATGGTAGGACTTGGAAACACATCAACATTTCTGATGGTGGGAAGTGGAAGTAGTGGAAGAGGGATCTGGCAGGGTCAAGGGCAGTTTGAGCACCACCCACTGCTGTGGGTGTTGGGAGTAGTGAGACACTGTGGTGGTAAACAGCTGGGGTTTCTCTGAGTCATTCATTCTCTCTTCCCACCTCGTGGCTCTGTCTACCTGCGTGGGTGGCCAGGTGCGTTTCTAGGCAAGGAAGTAATTAAAATTGATGTCACATCTCACAGTCATGTTAGGGGGGAGAGGGGACACGATTGCATCTTTTTGTTACCTGTTTTGGAGCCTTTGTGCACTCACAAAGTGAGTGCTGTATGTGACCATCAGTAAAAAGGGCAGGGGACCAACAGCTTGTATCTTTATTCTCACCTGTCTGTGATACGCCAGGCACTAGGCTGCACATCCCTGTTAAGGTGCAGGAAGGGTCTTGTTCAGAAACACAACTGTGAATATCTTCTTGTATTCACCTGCCCATCTGCTTTCTGGGGGTGGATGGTGGTTTTAGGTCGACAGCAGTTGATTTGATCAAGGGTAAAAAGTTAGGAGTGATACAACTGGGGACACGTTAACTTCAGCAGGTAGCATGGCTTGTGCTTGGATTAATTCTGCCTCCTGCTGAGAAAAACTGGTGCAATAATAAAGTGTCAGGGCTGGGTGTCTTGGAGCTTGAGGAAGGTCACAAGTCAGAGTTCATGGTGTGCTCACTGGCCTGCACTTACAACTTGTGTCTGTTGACATCAGGGCTGGACATTTTGCTTCAGAAAAGGCACCTCCATGTAGAAACTTAGGGCAAGGTTGCTACCTCAGCATGAGGCTGCAGTAACCTGGAATAGTATTTTGTGTATGTGTTCTTTTGTTAGCTGGTGTAAGGTAGAGCAGAGAGTCATCCTGCTTCTTTAACAATAAATTCTGACACACCTGAGCCAAGGGGGCCAGCTGGAAGAAGATATTGAAACCCCCCAGTAAGTGAGGTAGCATCATGTAGCATTCAAACAAGTTATATATAACTTGAGATAAATAAGAGTTGTTTCTTTATGATCTTTGAACTTGTTTGCATGTTTCTTATTTGTTCTTTCAGATAAAACAGTGAAGTCTTTAACTGCTCCAGAAGAAGAGGATCTGGAAGGAAAATGTCTCTGGCAAAGAAGTATCAGGTAACACTGGTAGTGGGGAAATTCTTAATTTTAAAAATATTTATCTGAATTTATCTTGATGAATTGAGTTACACCTGGATTTGAAGTTACATGTTCAGAGGAAAAAAATCTTGAGCTCTCAGTCACTGAAACCAGAAAAGTGCCTGCTTTTTGTTTTTATGTAAAGTGCTACTGCTTTTGATATGCAAATAGTGCACTATACTTTGTAACCTCAGTCTTCTAGAGAGCAAAAGGAAGGGCAGAGAAAAATCTGTGTGGTGCAGGAATTCAAATGATATGGAGACAGGGTTCCTACTCCCTTTCACAATGCAGTTCTAAATTCCAGTAAAGCACAAAGAGATCAAATCAGCTTGGACTCTGAGGGCAAGGATTGCCCTGTGTTGTAAGGGGCATTTGATAATTCCTGGGTGCCATGAGTATAAAAGGTAACTGAGATGACTGAATGTTAAAGGAGCTGGAGCAAGCAGTAATAGAAATGAGTGGGCTGTAGCCAAGTGACAGCTCATCATATAATCATCATGTTTTCCACTTAGAGCATCTCTGAAAAACAAGAAAGATGGTTTAATTCTTTCTGCTTTTCCTCTAAAAAGAGATTTTGAATAATTGTTTTTTGGAAAACCTTCATTGACTTCTGGGCTATAGGTACATATTTTGAGTGATAGAAGAGTTATTGCCTGTGGTTCAAAATATATTCTCACACTCAGACACCCCTCATTAGATCATAGGAGAATTTCCCATAGTCATTTTTCTTTTTCCTTAATTGCCTTCTCTTGCACAGAGGTCAGGTTGGCTCTGCTGGCATTTCATGGTGTAGAAGCAATCACTGAGGAAAGCAGGGATTTGTGCATGTTTTGGTGTCTTTGATGCACCATTCTTCCTCCTGCCCACGTCTCACCCCTGAGGAGCTGCCAGAGGAATCCTACATGGGCACAGATGGATCAGCTGAGTGGCTTTGAGGGCAGCCCCCTGCCCTCCCCATGGCTCAGCTGTACAGTGGTGGGGAGCCAGGCCATTGTGCCCCCTTCTTCTCCCTCAGTCCTCAGTCCCAAGAAGCTGTTCAAGGAGAAGCAATGGTTCTGTGATTATGTAAAGCAGTAGCAGGTTCCCAGTTTTTATAGGAAGCTCTCACTAACCTCTAAGTCAGTGTTTTGTTTTTTTTTTTTTTTTTTTTTTTAGCATTATCAGGAGAACGGCAACTGGAAAATGGCTTTATTAGGTGAAATAGGATTTAAAGGAAAATGGGTCTCACGAGATGAAGCTAAAATCAATAGGAGATTGCACTTTATGCTGTGAGTCTTTAAGACTACATATGTACTGTGTGGTCTAGTTTTGGGTTAGGAGCTTGTCAGGTTTTGTATCCAGAGGTGGCTTTGCAGTTAAGAAAATATTATTCTTTTTAAAGTTAAATTGCATTTATTATTGGTAAAGGTGGAGCTGTCCCTATGAAGTTGATGAAGTGTTGCCCTTGAAGGGTGAAGCTGTGGCTGTGTTTTCCTGTGGAGTCATCAAACTGTGTGGTCGGTGCAGAGTGTAGGAGAGTAACTTTAATTCGACTTCTGTATTCTTTCAGAAGGGGTAGCTCTGTTAGCAGCAGTGCACTCCACTAAAGTTTGTGCAGCTCTCTAGCAATAGGTTTTCCTACTGCAGCCCACCACTGAAGTGTCTGTATGACTGGAACTTGCTTTGCTGTTGGCTTTCAGTTACTGTTGGGGGGGGGTTGCATGTGTATGAGGTTCAGAAATAGCTTTTTCTCTGAAATTTGGGGCAGATAAGTTAACTAGAAATCATCAGAAATTAGGAATGTACATGCCAAAAGTCATTAATGTTCTGCCACCTAGGAATGAATGAATGAAGGACATACATTCTCATTTAATTAAGAATTCTGAGCTTTTAGTGGCTAGGGGGAAAAAAGAGCTACTTATTTAATAGTGTTTTTAAAAGATGAATATGTTTAATAAAGTGTGGGTGTTCACAGTATTGGGGAGGCAAAAACAAGCTTTATGGTCTTGTATTTACTTCTCAGTCATGTTTATAGACCGCTCAGACAGTCAGCAGAGCAGGTGTCACCAGGTGGCCCAAAGCCAGTGGTGCAGAGAAGGAAGGAATCCACCTGTTCTGGCCTTCTGGGGTTCAGCATCACCTTTGAGTCAGTGCAGACTGCTTTTGCTGGGCAAGTGCTGTAAGGCAGATAGGTGGAGATTGGGGATAACATCCACTGTTGGTTCAATTCAGATTGTATCTATCTTATTTCAGAAGATGAATGTAGAACGTAGATAATTGATCAGCTTGAGAGCTGAGATTTGGTATCTTTCTAGCATGGGTCTGGAGAAGTGCCTTTGTTTTTTGTGATAAAGATCTATGTGTAAGGTCTTGATTAAAAAGAGAGTTTTCCCTTGTGAAAAGGTCTCTAGCTTTTGACCAGTCAAACATTTGCTGTGTTTTCTGTGACTTCATGCTGTTACTACAGATGCTGACACATAACCAAACATCTGCCTCAAAGTGACATGTGCTAAAGGTACAGAAAGCTTCCCAGTATCTTGGTGATACTGCTTCTGTCACCAAACCCTTCATGAGTCATCAGAGATTGTCACATTTTGGTTCTGCCATAAACAAGACTCAGGTTGAATTTTGAAAGTATTAATAACCTTTATAGGAACTTACTGTAAATGTTTCATGTTCTTTCCAGAAAAAATTTCTTGTGGTTGTTTCAGTTTGACTCCAGTGCCATTTGTTTTTCTTTCATTATGGATGAATCATCAAATAGCTGAATGTAGAATTGAATTTGACTGCAGTCAAATTCATTGCTTGTATTGGCAATTACAATTTCATTTAAATCTGTAGTTCACACTTGTAAGAAGCTGTGGCTTTTGCTCTAGCCTCTTCACTGAAAGACACATTTTGCATCTCCATGCACATTATTTGTGCTGTCATAGGAATTAAACCCAATTAGGATGACACCAATATTCTTTCTCTCATTTTCCTAACCTCTGTTTTATTACCCAGTGGATGCATTTAAACATCCAGGGATGGTGTTAACAGGAGGCAGAGAAACCACAAGGGACTTTTCTCTGCAGCCCCTTATGTATTAAGTTTTTTCCTTCAGGTTTTTACTATCTAAAGAGATATTTGTTCTGGCTACCTTTTAACTTCTGCAATTGGAACAGCTGTTTATATTGGGCCTTCAGAGAGACCAAGGGGCACTTTGATGGCCAGTGACACTCTGAGAAGTCCTTCCTTGTGTGCTGTTTCTAACTGAGCTGTGAGTGTGCAGCAGCTGGGCAGGATGAGAGGGCACCAGGACAGACAGGAGCATTACTGATGCACCACTTGCTCTCAGTGATTTGTGGCTGTGGCTGTAATGTGTGTGTGAAGGACATGCTGCTGTTGCAAAGGAATCAGATGAACTCACAGATACTGAGCACCGTTTTTCATTTATGATTGTGTGTATTTGTACAATCTGCTCATAACAATAAGAGCACTACAGTGAAACTGAGGTGAAGTTTGGGTAATGTTTCAGTCTAGAAGTTTGAAGTAAAGACTTTGGCAAGAATGAAAAAAGTATCTGGATTTTAAATCTCTTTAAAATGACTAAATTTGGCATTTTGGATTTGTGCTGGTTTGGCTAAACCATGACAGGATTGTTTCCTATAATGCTGAGAATTAAAGATGTGTTATCTTTAGTAAAAAATGTTAGTAAAGTTTTAACAAATTTCTACCAGTAGAAATTTGTTAAAATGTACATGCAAGTTCCCAACAGCATGGAGTTGTATCTTCATTTTCTAAATCTTCAATATGTTGGTTTTTGTGACCACCACCATGAGCTGGAAACACTCTGTATATGAATATGGAGACTATTCAGCTCTTTCTGGCTGGGTAATGATGGTTGTTCTCCCTTTTCAGTGCAATTCCAAAGAACAGTGGACTTAATACTCTAGGTGGCTGACATGAGTTCACCAGGGGAGCTCAGCTCAGCCTGTGGAGCAGGAAGTGTCTAAGGGCTTTTAAAATGTCCAGCAAAGGTGTGTTATGTTGAAATCAATTTGTGCAACTGCATATACTTGGAAAAAACACAGCTAAAAGAGTGGAAAAATAAAATAGAAAAGAGTGGATTGGATTTTCTTTTTAATAAAGGAGAAAGTGTAACTAGGAGGGGCATAACTTGAAAGAATTGTGTGATGTCACAATTAATATTCTTAGTATGTAAAAATTATAAGAATGAAAGCTCCAAACACTTTAGATTATCTTTTAAGACTTTGATGAATGATGCATAGACTAATAGAGAAGCAATCAGTGTCAAAGAAAAAAATGTTATTTGGTCACAGCATTGCTAAACAGACTGTAAAAGAAGAGTATGTGCAGGTCATTTTTGCTCTCTTAGCAGGTCAAGCAGATCAAAGCTATATAAACTAAAATATATCCAGTCAGGATGCAAAACACTTGAGATAAAGCTCATTAAACCATGTAGGTCTATGCTTAATGGTTAATTTAATTAATATTGAGGATTCTTTTAGATCAGTCTGCAGTGCTTGTTGGTCTTGGGGTTACTGTTTTTTTAAAATCATATTATTTTTCTTTTTAACAAAATGAGTAGTTTTCAATCTGCAGGTAAATTTTTCATAAGTAGAAACTGACTAAATCTGTTGGATCTACTGGAGTATTTTACTCAGTTCTGCCACAGACAGAACTGGTCAAACTGGTAGAAAACCAGCCCTCTAAACTGATTTTGAGGTGTGTTTCCTCTGTTTATCTAAGCCAAACAGGAAGGGGGCTGGATTCCTAAGAAGCTGCCAGCTGATGTAGATAGGACAGAATTATTTTTTTCCATAATAATGCTACAGAAAATTATTCCAGGGTCAGAGTGTGTAGTGGGTATGACAAATGGATGCAGAACAGCAAATTAGTGTCACTTTTGGAATAAAACAGTAAAACTTGTTCTGCTCTTCTCTCCATCCTCACAGGCACATGATACTGCAGAGATTCAAAGTCAGAAGTAAATCAACTGGACAGTTGCCTCCTGCCTTCCTAAATAGGCAAACATATTAGCAACAGAAGAAGGGGCCTACCTACCTCATTCCTGTGAGTAGCTATAAACATCCCCTCCACCCCTCAAATCAGCATCTGCCAGGTAGTTGTTTTGAAAAGCTGAGCATAAGGATGTGTTGAAGAAAACAAAAATTTTAATTTGTTTTCTTATTGGCAACAATTAAGTGTAGCCAACCAAAGAAACCAACTAAAATTATTAATATGCTACCAACATGCCTATTGCCTGTGACTACAAAGAGCTGATGGATGATGTGTTGTTACTCATTAAATCAACCTTTTCCTGTGCTTCCTAGAGCTTGCATGCTGCATAAGTTCCTAAAACCATCCATATCATTGCCATGTTAAACTGATGCTGCCGTTGCTGTGTCACTGCAGAAGCTGTCTGGGGCTCAGTTCTTTGCTTTTGTATTTGTTAGCAGTTCATTCTGTAATAACATGGTGTCACCCATTGCAAGGCTTGAACAGAAGATCCCCAGTGACCCCCTTGGTCAGGGCAGTGAGCAGAACAATGTTTGCTGAATTGCTGCTGTGTGGCTGATATTCATGCTCTGAACTCCCTTTTCCTTGCTGACTTCTCTGTCCTTTCTCCAGGGAGAAGGTGGGTTTGCTGCTGTGGATGCCTGCCTCGTTTGCTTCACCAAAATGAATTAGGGCATGCAGGAGAGAAGGGAGACTTTTGCAAGCAGAACCTATCATGGTGAGTCAGATTTTGTCCCTGCTTTTGCTGTAGAGCTTCTCACTGTCCCTACATTGCTTAAACCAAACTGTTTACACAGAATTCTCTCTCCCCTGGAAGTATGTTACACATAACACTTCCTTGGTAGCAGTTCTGGATTGAGAGGTTCTTCCCTACTGCTTTTGCCTCCCCTGCCCTGTGAGGTCCACAAAAATGCTTGGGGGGACCTTCAGCAAATTAAAGCAGCAAATTGAATGGAGCTGAAAATAATTACTCTCTACCATGTATGCATGAAAAGTATGAGAAACTGGTCTGTAGCTTTGGTTTGGAACCACAGCATCTGTCTTGAACATTATCCTAAAATTAAGTACATGCAAACAGTATTTTTAATTTTGAGTTGCTAAATACCCTCTAAAATACCTCATACTAATACTCATAGAGATTAATACTCATTCTGCATGACTATAGATTAAGTTTTCTGGCATTGTACACTGTGATTGTGAAGGAATCCCAAGAGTGCAGTCCCAGTCCCTAGCACTGCAGCATGGACATTGTATTTCCCCTGGTATCTTCATTTAATGAATTTGTTTCTAATTTTGAAGCTTAGCCTTAGGTTTGAAATTCACTGCAAAGAACTTTCTCACCAGCAACAGGGAGTAATGAAACATGGTTTGTTATAGAAGCATTGCTTTTCTCCCTCCTTCTCATGGTGATAATTCTGTCTCCTGTCTTGCCTTCTTTATTGCCTTCATTTTTCCAGGTTTTCCCAGCCTCCCACTTCTGTGTTATCTCAGTTTTCACATCATCTCAGTACGTTGTATGGATATGTCAGGTCAAGCTTCTGGACAGAGGGTTCCCACATACTGCACTCAGACAGGCCTAAGCACTTGTGTGTCTACAAATGTGACAGTTTTGAGTTAATTCAGGATTAATTTAAACAAAAACAAATGCAATATCTTCTGAAAAATGTTTACTTTCAAGCAAACCTTCATACCAAATATGTGTAAACAGACTGGATCGTGCATGGATAAGCAGAAAACCAAAGTTAGAGTTCACAAATGTTTCTTTCCTACTTTCAAGCATTAATTTGTCCAGTTCCTGTGTTGTTTTGGGGGCACTTTTTTTGTTGTTGTTATTTGGTTTTGGTTTTGTTTTTTTTTTTTTTTGGTGGATTTGGTTTTTTTGGAGTTTTTTATGGGGTTTTCCTTATTGGTTTTGTTTTTTTTTTTTTCTGGTCTCTGACTGCCAGAGGTCTCTGCTTGAACATAGTTTCCATGTCTGTCTCTGCATGAACACAGATTCTTTGTCTCTTCCTTTCAGGAGTGGGACTTGATGTTCCAAACTGTCTTAAGGCTCTTGAACTATTGCTGAGCTCATCAGTTCTCTCTATAGCTGATGCACAAATTTTTTCTAAGCTCTACCCTCCTCTGTGCATACTGGATTTTATTTAAGCTTTTGAGGATTAAGTATGGTATTAGTAAAACCTTTGGGATTCTTGCTGAGAATTGTACAAGTATCCATTTTGACCATGGAGAAGCAGCAGTATCCATGTTTTGAATACAGAATTTTTCCTTTGGAACCATTGTCACTTCAGAAGTCCTTGTGAGTTTGGACACTGCACTCAGCATCTGTGAGTCCCTGTCTTTCTGCTTTGGTGTCAGACTACTTTGATTTGTCCTTGCCAGAATCACCAGCACTGAGCAGATTGCATTGCTCTGTTCTGCTGGGACAAAGTCAATCCATGTTAATGGCTTCTTTAATCTTTTAAAAGTGATTATTTTATTTGGGGCAGTGGTTCCAGCCAATTCCATTCTCTTGCTAGGGATAGTAGTCAAATAGAGATAAGCAGTGCCTGAATAAGACAGGTCAGACTCTAATCTTGCCTCATTTTGTGCCTAATTTATCTGAAAAAAAATTCTGAACTTGGTTCTCAGAAGTCATAACATTGGATGGCTTATGTGGTTTACCTTCTCCAACCTTGATTTCAGGTAATACTGGTTAGCCCTCTATGTACCATTAAGTCTTATGTATCTCATCTAAACCAGATTTATTCAATGTATTTTGTTTGTGCATCTGAATTGTCTAATTCTACTGTAAACTTATGTTAGATTTTGGATTTTAAGGTCCAGAAGAGGGAAAAATTAGAGCAGACCAAGGAACCTGCAGACTTGAAGAGGAGGAAATTCAATTATCTGTTATTCCACCTTGCATAAGGTTTTTTTAACAGTCTAAGTCTCTTTTAAGCTACTGATTGTTTTTGTAAAAATCGATCCTTCTTGAATATTTCTTTTACCAACTTCACAGAACTTACTTCTCTAAACCCCTGATGCCCTGGTTTAGATGGCTAAATCCTCAAGTCACAGGTGCTGTTTGTTGCTGTCTTGAGCTGTGGGAGCCCTTCAGGTCCTACTGAGCTCAGTGTCTACTAGAGCAAGGTGGTGGTCTGGCTTGTAAATAAGCCCAAGTATCTCTCACCCTTCCTCTCTGAGCCTCCTGGGTGCTTCTCCTTTGCAAAGGAATTTCCAGGTTCTACTTTGATTTACACATCTGCATCAGGCAGCTGCTTTTTCCAGCAGGACTGGGGACAGCATCACCCAAAGCACAACCAACTCCTGCCTACGAGTTGTCAGCAAACTGCCTTCTTTGGGATGTAGGCCATGTCCCAGAACTCTCCTGTAGTGAGGAGGTGGTTATCACTTTTAATTTTCTGATGCAGTTACTATAACTTGTAGTCAGAGTGATAAGACACAAATGTTATTCCATTTTATTTAAGTTCCATCTTGGTGGGTGCTGTGGTAGTATTTTTACAGAAGTTGGCTTATTATAGAGCAGTGGCATTTGATTTTGCAAGTAACTGGGACACATTACCTGTCACTACAGGCAGCTTACTCTTGAATTCATCATTTGGCAGTTACTGTTCATTTTAGGCTGATTTAAGATGATGTACCGTTTGATTATAGTCTGAATTTCAATATTGAATTTGTCCTAGGAATCTTCATTAAGATACAATTAATAAAGATTAACTGCTGCATTAGGATACTTGGGCAACTCTGCCTAACGTGGGTGGAAGTAGAACTGTGTTGTAATTACAGACAATGCTCTGTCATTTGAGATTTAATTTCTAGTTGGATTGGTTATTTTAATAACTGTCTATAATCAGATGTTATATTACATAATAGCAACAATATTGTTATGGCATGAGGTACATACTGTGACTGAGTGCAAACATGGAGATGCAGAAAACATAAACATTCCAGTTAGTGCTCTTCTACATGCCTGTACAGCTTTCATTGCTTATTTTGTCAGTGTGAACTAAATTAAATTACTCAGTTCTCATGAAATCAAAATACTTTTGCTATATTTTAGAAGTAGAGTAAAATACTTCTAAGTCCTATTCCACAGTGAGAAGTTAGATTCATTCTCCTTTGCACAAACTGTTTAAATCCTGTTTTTTACCACTGAATCCATGTCTCTAAAGCACAAACTTCACAAAGCCTTTCAGGCCAGTGTATTTCTTCTCTTAGTCAGTACTGTCCAAGGTAGTTTCTCTTGGAATTTCAGGAAGTTTTTGTTTGTCTTGAAGATCTCTTTTTCACAGTAAACCTGTTTTTCCAAGGCAGGTAGTTCTAGACCTGGGTGAAAAGAATTAAATGTGTCCTTTAAAAAATATGTCCTCACTGGACAATCTAACCATTTAATTAAAAAATATGGACTGGTTCAGTTCAGAGCAAGATCCTGTCATTCTATAGAAATATATCTCAATCTAAGAATCATAATCCATGAAAATTACCAATATAGAGAGTAGAAGGATACAGTTTAAGTATTTGGTACTTTGATAGTGTTTATACACTCTTTTTATAGTTATTTGGCATGAAGGCCATGGGAATTTCTATTTCATTGGTTTTGCTGTTAATAATATGATGTGCATATTAGCAGGGTGTCTGCAGACAAAAATAGAGACAGTGGCTGCATGATGAAAGCATGATCTTTGTCTCTCTTGAGGTATTACTAATTTTGAGAAGGTGATTAGAAACTCTTTAATTTCTAATGTGTTAAACCTTTATAATCACATGCTGCATGTGTTCTGTAGTAGACTTTAAGCATTGCACAACTAAATTATGGTCCAGCCTAAGTTCAGAGTCATTCTATCAGTAGATTTGTGTGATTTTGAATTATCTCTCCTGCAAAGCCAGAAAGTATTTCAGTAAATTAGAGAAAAGCTATCCATACCTGATCTCTCAGTGTTTTTTTTAATGTAAATAAGGGCAGAGAACACATGGCTGGGGAAGCTGGCACTGTTTGTAATGCTAAAAGAAGGAAGAGCCAGTTCATAGAGAAGACAGGGAATACCTTGTTTCCAAGTCATCTCCTCTCACATTTCTTCTGAGCTACCTCTGTATATTTAAAGCATGAAAAACTGACATAATTTGTTTCTCAAGGATGTTTAGAATATTTGGAAACTTTACCCAGAGAGAATAAAATTTTGAGTAACTAAAATAAGTTACAGCATAAATTAGACCAGCAAGATTCTAAAAGCATCTCTTCTTGGAGCTGTCCTTCTTTACAGAGGACTAGAGGAGCCTTAACACTCTTATAAACTGAAATGACATTTGGGAAATAGTAAATTTCAAGGCTGAAAAGGGTCAAACAAACACTGTGGTGAAGTTCCAGATTCTTATTTCCTGGTCACATTTTGCTAAATTTGAAACTGAGTCTACATCCTTTGCAAAATTTGTACTGCATGTAATTATATTCCAAATATTGTTTCACTGGAGGCTGAGATTTGACTGTTCAATTTGTGTTATTTATTATTGCTGTGTTACAAAAATGAATTGTGCACTGCTGGTATAATAAACTACCAAATGTCTTATCAAATGGGCAGGGATTAAAAGGATGTCTTATTAAAATGTCTTGGTTGAAAAGTTCTGTGAGTAATTGGATAAATTTTTATGGTGAAGTATTTTATTTTGTGAGAGAATGATCTTTCCCTTTATGCAGAAATTAAGAGAGATTTACACTCT